ACTACTACTACTACTAGTACTACTACTGCTACTACTACTACTACGACTGCTACTACTACTACTACGACTACTACTACTACTACTACTACTACTACTACTACTACTACTACTACTAGTACTACTACTGGTACTACTACTACTACTACTACTACTATTACTACTACTACTACTACTACGACGACTACCACTACCACCACCACTACTACTGCCACTAGTACGTACATGAGTACTACTAATGCGACGACTATCCTGGAAAAGCGGGATAATAGACTACTTTCTAAATAGGATAATAGACTATTTGCTGGAAAAGTATATGCCATTTCTGGGCAGACCATGTGATAAAATGGCTACATACAACTCTCTGATGGTTTTTGTGTTTGCAGTGGCATGTTTTGCACAATCAGAAACTAGACGATAGCACCGGATACCGAGGATTGCAGTAGACTCATGCAAGGGCATCTTTAGGGAGCAAACATAAATCTCGACTTCGCGCAAAAGAATCTCTCGTTTAAATGCAGCAACGAGCAGGATCTGTGTCGCAACGAACATCTATGTGGCAAACAGAGAGAGAGAGAGAGTTTGCGAGAAGGTTTCATGGCTTACATTTGTTGGATCGTGTGTAAACAAAGTAAAGCTTCTAAACAATATAGACAACACCTGCTTAGACACGTAGGCACACAGACACCCTCGCATGTACATGTAGATATCATAGATATCTGAACATGACTATAAATAAACACAAAGACATAGAAACAACATACACATGTGCAACATTTGTCGCGGTTGTATGTATATACAACCACAGATGTCTACGTCAATACACATGCATATTTTGGTACAGTATGTGTATATATATATATACATACACGAAATTTTCTGTATTTGTAGTATGCTCTTATAAACACAGTGGTTTTCATGTTTAGACATGACGAACCAAATCCGCGCTTGTTCAAGGCATTGGTCGGAATTTAATGCCAACATCACGCTATATCTTTAAATGGCAAGTGGGATCCTCGGTGCCACGGTCGCGCGGTCCTCGGTGTTGCGGTTTCGGGGTCCTCGGTGCTACGGTCGCGGGGTCCTCGGTGATACGGTCTCGGGGTTCTCGGTGTTACAGTCGCTGGGTCTTCGATGTTGCGGTCGCGCGGTCCTCGGCACGAAACTGAACACAAACTGGACATCATTTGTGTCACAACTTTGGGTTCTATTTCAAAAAAACAGCCAGATTTTTCAGTAAACAATTAGATCGAGTTTCTGTGTTTATAAATTTGGCGTTTTGATTGCGCAAACAATACAGATGTGATATAAGAGGCTATGGATCTTGAAGAGAGGGGTGTAGCATTTTTTGGTAGAAAAGTATAGCATGGAAAAGTAATTATATAGTTATCTAGTGTTTAAACATAGATTTTGTCTTGAATGGCTTAGGTGCCAACAGCTAACACCTTTATGTAGAGGTTTTGGCTGCAAAAATATTTGGGGACAAATTCGTCGCCCTCTGCATGTCTTGATTTTTATGCAGATGTATGTAGCAAACAAGCAGTTTTGCCTTGGTATGCTCCTGTTCGCCAATTAAAGGCAGCAACAGTCTCGCTATTTGCGCGTATCGCTATCTGGATGCCGTGACACAGACCGGCAAAAGAACACGCAGTTACGACCAGTACTACCAGTACGACTACGATTGCAACAACGACGACGCCGACTCGACTACCGCGACGGCGGCTAGTCGACGAGTACGAGCACCGCTACTGCCACTGCAAGTGCAACGACTGCCAGTACGAGCAGAGATCGTCCGCACTCACACGACAGCATACGACAGCCCTAACCACTAGCAGGGTCTACGACAGAGGCGGACAGCGCCTGTGACGGGGGCGGACACGGCCGATGGACAGGGCCTACTGCAAAGTTGGATTGGGCCTACGGAGGCCTAGCACAGGGGCGGACAGGGGCGGACAGGGCCTGCGGGCAGGGTCGACGACAGGGGCGGGCGTGACAGAGGTGGAGCTACAGACAGGTGAAGGGTAGGCTGTCCAGGAGGGTTCTTTATGAACGAGGAGCAGGAGAGCAGCCAAGCCGGCCCGACTCTGAAGACTCGGGAAAACCCAAACACACGGAGCGGCTGAGGGAACAGCGTGGGCCAGAAGCCTTTGAATGTCCTGCAGCTCAGGGGCTCTGTCTGAAGTTCGTGAAGACAGGCTTGCGAGCACCAACCCAGGAATACAAGCAGGTTGTAGATGGTGGCCACAGCACAGTGGCAGCCCAACAAAAGCGGGGCTTTTTGCACACAATCGCATGATCTGAGTCTAACACCGAACGAGGGTCCACGACGCGATCACGGCATAGACCTGCAAAGTGTTGCTGAAGGCGGAATGTCGGCTTTCTTGTTCGTGATTTCGGAAGGAGTCACTTCGTGGCACAACATGTCCGCAGATAAGTCATCTGCCTCCGCGCAGCACATGGCCCCCGGACAACCAAAGTTACAAACAGAGCCAGGAGCAAAAGTACGAGGCCTCTCTCAACATCCTCTCCCGGCCTCCGGCTCGATGTTGCAGAGATACTCCTGAAAGAATCAGATGCAAGGGTTCAGAGCCCTGCTGGGATGTACTGGGCTCTGCTAGACCTTTTTGCGCTGTCTCCGCCCTAGTGCTCTCCTCGTCGAAGCCGCAGTGCAGTTGACATGAGATCGCGCGTTGCGCGCTTTTGGACTTTTTATCCCGCATCACATGGGCCTTGCCTGCATGTCCGCGAGCTCCGGAATCAGGTGGCCCCCGGAGGTTGCTGGGCGAATCATGTAATTGCTTGCACAGGCTGACAGGATCTTACAGGAGGATTAGTGAACAAATAGCAAAATCCATGCACTTGGCTGAAATGCAAGACATCACAAGTTCTCGTGGTCTAACACACACGAATGGTTGAGTACAACTCGCGAAAAAGAACGATAGTCGTCCAAGGGTCACACTACGGCAAGCCTGCAGCGGAGGGAATACATTTTCGTCTTGTAGACCTACTTATGGCGCATCGTCATCGTCGCCATCTTTCCTAAACCAGCTGCGTCAAAGTTGCTACCAGCAGGCGTGCAAGGAACACCATACTCAGCCAAGGCACAGGTGCTCCACTTGAAGACCCGCACGTGCATCGCCAGAACCCGTGGGGTCTCGTTTCCTCCTAAGGGCGCTCGATGCATTTTGCACCCTGACTCTCTGAGGCAGTGACATGAACGTCACCCTGAAAGGAAACGCACACACACACACACCAAAGTCTGCAAGATGCAAGCACCACTAAGTTTCTGCTGCACAAGGTTACCCGAAGGCCCGGGAGCTCAGACCGACTGCCCAAAGCAGAGCTGTGAGAATAGCAATGGCCTTCGAGAAGGCCGGCTCTCGAGGCGACTCTGTGGGCCAACCTAGCATCCACAGGTCGCAAAGAACACCGACCTTGACCGCCTTCACCTTCCCCCCTGAGGCCAAGGCGCCAAGGTCTCCTTCGAAGGAAGGATGCAGTCCTGGCTCCGGAATCACCACAAGGACGCATCTCTAGCTCTTGCGCAGTCTGGCCAAGCCCCACGCTGCCACATCCCCGATTGTGCTGTTGGATGCAAGGAGACCGTGCGCACGGACCGTGCGTGCCTGCGCTGAAGCTGGTCGAAGGTTCTGCCCATCGCAATGTGAATTTTGCATGGCTGGAAGTCAACCTTAGGAAAAGCGTCCAGTGGTTCCCGGCGCCTCGGCGGCTTCCGGTCTCAAGAAAGCTGCCAGGACGTAGCCTCTCCTCTCCTCGACAGAGGGTACCAAGGACATCCAAGGGCCAAGGACCGGAAAACTTACAAAACCCTTCGGCCGAGCCCCGACGGCCCCCGAGCCTCGACTTTCAGCCACAGTTCCGGTCCGGCCGCTCGCGAGGTGAAACGGAAGACCTTGACGGCAGAATCTCCGTGTCCGGAGCATGGTATGCTGGATTTGTGCAGCCCGCGTTTCAAAGGCCATGCAGCTTGCTTGCACTCAATTCCCCACTCCAACTAAGAAACCTTCCGCCTCCGGATTCTGAGAGGATTCCACTTCTCATTTACATCCCCTGGGCCCACCGCCTTGCCGTCAGAATCGGCCTCGGCAGCTTGGACGTTTGCACAGAAATGTGGGCTCTTCAAGAGCACTGCTGAGCGCTCCTCACTTGGTCTTGCTGTCTTCAATCACTGTAGAATACGCTCTTGCGAACCGCCGTCACGGTACGAAGTACTGGAATCGTACGTGTGGTATTGATTGGTATTGAGTGCCGGTAGCAGGGGTTGGTCTGGGTGGGCACCAGGCATTATAACATATCATACGCAACCGTCACTTGAAAACAGCTCGCCTCACGAGCTTCCGGCCATCAGCATAAAGACAGACGTGGGTTCGGGTGAGGCTTGGTCCAAATAGAATACTGCCACTTCTCACGCTGAGAGCCGTGCCCAGATCATATCTGGCCGTGTTCCATTCAGCCACGGGGCCTGCAGCAAGAGAAAGATTCGACTGCACATGAGTGGGAAGGGTTCGCAGGCCATGTCTCAAAGATTGGTTACCGCATGCTGGGGTGAGACAGGGCTCCAGTTTTCGGCAGCGCTTAGGCCTTCCGCTTGCTGCGCGCCCAGAGCTCCTCGAACGGCACGGTGACATGATTGTCCAAGACCTCCCCAGCATTGTACGCAGATTGTGGCTACCAGGTCCTTCTACGTACTGTTGGCTGTCGTCCCAGGAGGGCCGTCGTCCCCTCAGAAGCATCAAAAGGAGACCGGGCCTCTGGGCCGCACGTCTTCACCAACTCCTCTACCTGCAAGGCAGAGGGCCTTCTGAAATCTGAAAGCATCATGGGGCGCCAGCTTGCGATCTTCAGACATGTGTGGCTTTACGAGGCAACGTCAATGATTCTCGACCCTGCTTCGGGGTTAGTTGGCATGTCAAGCTGAGTCAAGCTATCCGACTACTGAGTACCGCCAGGGTTCCTTCCCTTTCAGCGACATTATGCTCGACCGAGTGCGATCCGATTTGCAGGACCAAACGGGCAACTGCACAGCTGGTATCTTGCCTTCTTCGGGCCGCAGACCGGCAAAGAGCACCCGAAATGCAGTCAGACCATGACGACGGCTGCATGTACCATCTGCACCCTAAAACCTGCCTCCACTACGCGCCCGTAGCAACGCCGTATCCTAAGGGGGCTGCCCACAGAACAACGACGCACCCGGGAACAAGACTGTTGTCACCACGCCAGAGTTTCTCCCTGCTAGCTGAAATGCCCGTCCATAACTTAATCACATGCTTTACGCAGCAAGCTTTGGGCACCCAACGCTTCCAAGTCGAAGAGTTCCCGGAAGGGAACCCACTGCGTGCCCGCATAGGCCTGAGCAACAAGTCACTGTTATGCTAACTCTCATATATGCTCTGACGGATGCAGAAAGAGATTCTTTGCAAGTTGCCCAAAGCCCAAAGTCTTCATCGCCTGCAGAACTCGTGATGCGTGCCTGTGGGTGCGGAAACTTGAAGAAGCCGGGCATCACTAGGATCCGACCTGGCGATTCGACGCTCAAACTTCGAATGCAGGCCTAGAGGCCTAGCTCAACTCTGACTACAGCTACTGGCATCAACGTCTTTGACTGACAACTGGCAACTGTTTCCTGTTTCAGTATGACAAGTCTTATAAGCCTTAAGCGTCTCGGTCAGCAATCTTGGACCATGTTTATCTGACCATGGCACGTGTGTCTGCGGGAGTGCGGCGGCCCCGGCCCCACTTGGAACCCCCGCCCAGAGCCGAGGCCATGTCCAGGGCTGTCTCGTAGGCTCTGCGCTGATTGTTCAACCTAAAGCGGATGTTGCGGGAAGCTGTGATCACTTCGGGCCACTTCGGGCTGCAAAGGCTGTCGTTCCTTTACGGCATGGCACTGCTGCGCACGCTGATGCTCTCGACTGTCGGTGACACACTGCATCCATCCCTTCTCGGACGAGCCTTGATTGATCGTCTTAATCTGTTAGCTTCAGTCTGCTCACACAAGAAAGAGTATGCTCAGCGGAAACACGAGAAATTGCAACCGCGTCCCGGGGCTGAGCCCTGCGCATGCCCATGCGAGGGTCCTTGGGGGACCCAAGAGAAATCCTACCTCGTAGATGTGTGGAGATGTTCGTGCTGGTATGGCTTGTAATGCCACAGCTGATCCTGCGTATCTGCTTTCTGAAAATCCGTAGCTGCCGTGCTGCATCAGAATGAATATCTATATCTATGTCTGTATCACTATCTATCTATCTATCTATCTATATAGATATGTATGTTCGCACGGGAGCGTGATCTTGCTGACAAACAAGGCCGACTAAGTCGCCGGCGCTTAGCAAGAAACGTCCGCTCCTGCAGACAATCACCGGACATTCAGAAAACGTCAATCGCTTTCAAGCTGAAACCAAACCCAGTGCAGTCTTGCCTGCAAGTCTCGGGTGTAAGCTTGAAATCCTGCGAAGTAGCAGAGGACGACTCGACCTGGAGTAATTTGGCGCAACGGGGCACAACTCTGTGGGATGACTTGGAGGAGCCGGGGTTCACAGTTCCAACATCGTCTCACTGTTACCCGCTGTTCTCACAGGGTGTGCGCGAAGAGCAGCCTACCACCCTTAAGCCGCCTTTTGCCTGCTTTGGCTTGCCGAAAACCGATAGCCCAGTGACCCGGCTCGGCATGCTCTTGCTTTCTCCTGGGAATTCGGGGGCCCCTGCCGGCAAACGCCGCTGCAAGAAGGATGGCAAGTCCTGGGAGTTGCGGCGAACCAAGGCGGCTTATATCACAGTTTGTCCATTTGACAATGCTTGACCATGTTCTTATAATGCGGGCTTGGCCTGAGCCTAAAGTGCGAACTCTGCAGTCGTGCATAGCCGTTGCCCCGCTGACTTCGCTGCTTTCCCAGTCGTCATGCGACAGCAATGTACCCTGAGGTTTCGAGCAGACGTGTTTTGGTTTTAACGGATTCTGAAGTGGACGGATGTATGTAACTTCGCAGGCAACAGGCACTACACCGCCAAGTCGGCGGCATCTTCATGAACCAGCTCAATGTGGTAGGGCACCCTTGACCTCAGTGTCGGAAGCAGCAGCAGCAGAGCTAGGCCATGGAGAGGTCAGTGGAAGACTGGAACTCTGATGGGCATATGCGAAGTTCTTTCACAAAGCGCAGCCGATTCAGCTGGGCGCCGCGCTCATTTCGATACGCGATTCCCCGATTTCCGGTCAAAATCTCATCCTCGGGCGACAGTCTGGCGCTTGTCCATCAAGACAATTTTGAACGTCCAATGTGGAGCAATCGACACTTCAACAGATGCTGTCATGATCTTGATTCTTGGCTGAAGGAATCCAGTGGTGCGACCAATCGAGCATTCTAACAGGAGCGCAGCTGGGAGAACGGCTCCAGTCAAAATCACTTCTGCACCGACCGGCAAGCCCTCCACCTCCTGTGACAAGTTAGATCGACAGAGAATACCCCAAGCCCGAAACCACCCACCCACTCCAAATCGATATGCACATGTCGTAACAGGGATAGTGGTGGTGGTAGGTGGTAGTAGTACTCGTCGTAACAGAAATTGTCGTTGTAGTTGTTGTTACTGCTGTTGATAGCGTGACTACCTTTACCTGTGTTTTGCTGCTGCTCTTGCTGTTGCTCTTGCTGCTCCGGCTGCTGCCGCCGTCGCTGTTTTGTTGATGATGTGTTGTTGTCGTTGTTGATGTTGTTGTTGCTGTCGTAGCCGCCACCGATTCGACGGCCGCGCAGCATGGAGGCTTCCGAACAGGCTCTGGGCGCAACTCTTTCCTCTAGAAGTCCGAACCAGGCCCCAGGGTGACGTAAAGAGTCGTGCCCCTATTCGAGCCGTGTGCCTGCGTGTTTGCTGAACTGGTCTGGTCCGCCAGGTTCCAATTCCTGGACCCAGTTACTGTCTAAGGCACTGATTAATAATGGGCAGGCGGTAGGGTTTCCACCTTCCGTGCGGTGGAGGAGGCCACTTAGCTTGCTTCGCGGCGAAATAGCGGATGGCAACATTGCCAGTGCACTCACAAAATTATTCTCAGATTCGCAAAGAGCCCTTCAAACATGCATGCAGAAACGCTGCAGACACAGCCGGTTTCTTACCGAGCTCAGGTCCTCCCAGTCAATGCCTGCAACCACTCCGGAGTCGCAACAGGAGATGCACCAGTGCGCACACTGCGAGGCTGCCTGTGTGTCTGCACATGCATGTTGCCAACATGCACAGGAAACTAGTACAGAGATTCATACCCTCGGAAGTCCGACGGGAGCTACATGCAAAAGACGGCATGCCGACATGCACAGCATGCCACAAGGAGTTTAAGCAGTGGAAACGCCTGCGGGACCACATTCCCGGAGCCGACCAGACTAAAGGACATCACGCAGTCATCGGAGCAACAGTCCAACCACCAGGACGGCAAATTCTGCAGCAGCTCAAAAAACCAAGCTCAGGGGTCGCTCACGGAGCTTGGAGCAGTTGCCCGAACCACCGGTGCACAATTTCTACAACACAGATGCGTCCTTTGCGGATGTTTTCGACGCCGGACACACTCAGGTCAAATCACACATATGCCAGGCGCATCCCAAAGACTGGCAATGAGATGGAGTTCTGGCCATGCATATCTGCGCTGGTCCCTCGGCACAGATGATCAAGGGACACAAATGTCCCTCCTGCACCAGACGCGTGCATGATAAGAAGCATCCAGAGCAATGTGTTGTTCTTTTCCAGGTCTGTCTGTGCTGGCACAGAGTTCACAGTGATTCAGAGAAAAGGGGACACGGTCCAACTCAAGAACCCAACCTGGAGACACGGTCTCTTCATGCCTTCTTCACACAAAAGCCGAGTAAACCCAGCCTAGAGCCAGCCTCTAGCACGGAGCCAGCACCCCATACGGTGGCCGGCGACGGCGGTGACCCGACTTTGGTGCGAATACGCTCCATGACCAACCATGGTAACACCTGCTACGTCAATTCTGTTTTGCATGCCATATCGGCCTGGGTAGATGAGAGGTGCAGCTTCGATGAGCTTTCTCTCCTGCTACAGCAATGTACGAACCATGACAGAGACGCGATAAACCTCTGA